GTACCGTCCTTGCCCTCTGTACCGTCCTTGCCCTCTGTACCGTCCTTCCCCAGTATGTTTTAATCTAATCCGAAGTGTAGATTGTCAAGATGGCCCTTTTAAAAGCAGGAAGAAACAATAATGTGCCCTTTCCCAACCATTGCCACTAGCTTAATTAATTAACTAAGTTAATTAAATCAAACTCTGAAATTAAGAAGCTAGCATGATTAATGGTGACCATGAAACTACCATGGGATTTTCATTTAACCCATCTGGCTCATTGACATCTTTTAGGGAAAGGAAATCTGCCAAGCTTTCATGGTCTGACCTATATATAACTCCAGAGCATTCATTACCTTTTTAACTGCTCTCTGAAATGGCCTAGGAAACTTTCAGTTGTACACAAGAAGGTAGCTACTCGAGAGTGGCTTAATACCACTCAATGGATTTAGGGATGAGCAGTAAATGCTGTCCTGACCACATCCTGTGAATGAATAGTGAAAAGTGACATGGTCTGGGATCACAGTTTCTTTATTAGGATTGTGAAACATTTGCACATGTTGAGCAGTTATCTGGCCATCACTCCCGGAGCTATTCCACTGGGTCAACATGTGTCAGACCAGATTACTGGATTGTACAGCATTGCTACCCTCCTGTTATATATTTTCACAATAACTTAGAAGCACATTTTATTTTCTTAAACATTCCTAGCCTGTTTTATCCTGGTGGGAGATGGGTTTGTCTTCTTTATAGAAGCCACTTGACCAACTTTGTGAGAATGTGGAAATAGGAGACGGGCTACCTTTGATCCTTCAACAGTGGAAATGTGTCATAACTTTGACTTTCTATTGGCATAGATGCCCAAAAACATAGTATTTATTTATTAGCTAACCTGGAAAGATTAATTGAATATCAGTAGATCAGTTTGAGTACCATTTCAGAATATGGAGTAAGATGCTGGGATGAGATCTCGCCTTGACATTTTATTGGCCTGTTGAGGGTTTTAAATATTTGGCTATTGATGTTGCCAGGTTCCGGGCCAGTGATGATATTAGTCTCTTGCTACAGGACGTGCAAATGGATTTCTAGATACTGTACACTCTTCCTTTTGCCTGTCTGAGATAACAGTGTCATTAAAATTGTGCCAATACTTAAAAGCACAGTTTCTTCAATATTTCCATTCGGCTCAATCTGCTATTTGCTGGATTATATATTTTGGATTTTCACCAGAGTGTGAAAGGAAGAAATCAGCAGATAAGCCAGATTTTGGACTTCCTGACTCCTTCCTTCTATGTGCAAACTTTCTACCTTTTTGCTATCTTTTTTTTTTTGACTGAGAAACATTGTCCATCTAATCCTTTTGAGTCTATGAAATTTGGATGATGACAAACTGTTTGGGGGGAGTCCTTTCATGTTGGCAAATGGCCAATTGTTACACTCACATCAATGGATTTTAATGGGTAACCTCTGCTTTGCCTGATCATTGGGCCATGTGGAGCAGACAGTATACCTCCGTATAGTTTTAAGGCAGAATGTGGCTACAGCAACATGGTATCCTCTCCTTCTATGAATATAATTATTGCTGCTCAAACAGCAACTGAGGGAAGTAAAGCAGTGATTCTTTCCAACTGTTTGAAATGAGGTGTTGCATCTTGTTCTTTGTAGTCTAGGTTGGTTCAAGAATGGGCTTACTATTTATTGAATGATGCATAGCTTCCATTTACATGCTGTGACTCTCCAGCAGTTGCCAATGGTCAAGAGCACTGGACAGCTCAGGGTTTCAACCCAATGCAATGGGGTTTTAATCCATGACCACATGACTCCATGACAAAATGCTATTCCCTGAACTACAGATGATTTAGAATGCAGTGTCTTAGAGGCATTGAGTCATACAGCACGGAAACAGACCCATCGGTCCATCCAGTCCATGCTGAATATAATCCCAAACTAAACTAGTCCCACCTGCCTGCTCTTGGTCCATATTCTTCCAAACCTTTCCTATTCATGTACATATCCAAGTGTCTTTTGAAGTATTGTAACTGAACCTTTCAGGTGCTAATTGTCACATAAACACAAAACATTACTTCTGCAGACTCTTGGATGAGACCATTTTGCCACATTCATTTCTTCTACCTATGCATGTTAAGTAAGGAGGCTTGAGAAAGATTCAGACCATTTTTGTTTTTACCTAATAGAGTTTTGCTGTCTGATTTTTCAACAGATGAGCTTCTAGAAGCTGGAGAAGCGGAATCTTTTGACTTTGCCTTCATAGATGCTGACAAGCTGAATTATGGCATTTATTACGAGAAATGTTTGCAACTTATCCGCAAAGGAGGAATAATAGCAGTTGACAATGTGAGTCTGCAGGGGGTTTTTGATAAGGGCTGCGTCTCTTTGCTAATGCTGCTTGTGATTGATAATAAGATACAGATGTATTATTAAACAGATGATTCAATGCTGAGAGGAAGTAATAATTACACGACCAACAAATGAAGATGAAGGTCTTTTCAGGAGTTTCGCCTGATTAAGAGTTCGAACTGATCTTGCTCCATGATAACTCAATCATGCTTTGCTTTTTTTCTGTCCTCCCATTTAAGAATGTTTTGGGATCTGCTACTTCCTCAAGTGCATGCGAGCTCCTGAGATGGTAACCCTTCTCTGCAGCTGGTACCAGGAAATCCGCTTGCAGACCAATCTGCTGGGAATACTACATCCATTTGTATTAAAACAAGAATTGACAGCCATAGCTCAGGAAGGTAGCTCAGAGTTCAACAATACTCCCTCTCTCCCTACCCCAGCGACTCGAGCACAAAGTTTAGGTTAACACGTCAGTGTAGTATTAGGAGAGTGATGCACTGTCAGAGGTCGCATCTTTCAAAGGAGACATTAGATCAATATACTCGCTCAAGTTTTTTTTTCTTTGTTCGTGGGCTTTGGGTGTTGCTGGGTGGGCCAGCATTTATTGCCCATGCCTAATTGTCCATTGGGCTGTTAAGATCCTTTGCCACAGTTCTGGAGTCACATGAAGGACAGACCTTTTTTTACAATGTCCCCTCGCTCTAATTTGAAGAGAAGCTGGGGACTTTGCCATGGTTTCCTGACTAGTCTTTAATTGGAGTGAGATTTTTGTACTTTGGAAATTTCCCTGTTTTATTACTGACAAGCTATCACTTTGCAACTGTCATAGAGTCATAGTCTTGGACTTGTACAGCATGGAAACAAATCCTTCGGGTCCAACTCATCCATCCATTTCCGAAATTAATCTAGTCCCACCAGCATTTGGCTCAAATTCCTCTAAACCCTTCATATTAATGTACCCATCCAGATGCTTTTTAAATGTTGTAATTGTACCAGCCTCCACCACTTCCTCTGGCAGCTCGTTCCATACACACACCACCCTCTGCATGAAAAAGTTGCCCCTTGGGTCCCTTTCAACCCTTACCCCTCTCACCTTAAACCTATGCCCTCCAGTTTTGGACTCCCTTACCTTGGGAAAAAGTCCTTGGCTATTCACCCTCATGATATTATAAACCTCTATAAGGTCACCCCTCAGTCTCCAATACTCCAGGGAAAATAGCCCCAGCCTGTTCAGCCTCTCCCTATAGCTCAAACCCTCCAATTCTGGCAATGTCCTTGTAAAAAAAATTTTTTGAACCCTTTCAAGTTTAATAACATCTTTGTTATAGCAGGGACTCTAGAATTGAACACAGCATTCCAAAAATTGCCTAACCAATATCCTGTACAGTTGCAACATGACATCCCAACTCCTATACTCAATGCACTGACCAATAAAGGCAAATGTACCAATATCCTGTCTACGAACAACTCCACCTTCAAGAAACTATGAACCTGCAGCCCAAGGTTTCTTTGTTCGGCAAAACACCCCAGGACCTAACCATTAAGTGTATAAGTCCTGCCCTGATTTGCCTCACCAAAATGCAACACGCATATTCATCTAAATTAAACTCCACCTGCCACTCCTAGGTCAATCGGCCCATCTGATCAAGGTCCCATTGTACTCTAACATAACCTTCTTCACTGTCCAATTTTGGTGTCATCTGCAAACCCACCAACCATTCCTCCTATATTCCCATCCAATAATTTACATAAATGGCAAAAAAACAGTGGACCCAGCACCGATCCTTGTGGCACACCACTAGCCGCAGGCCCCCAGACAGAGAAACAACCCTCCACCACCAACCTCTGTCTCCTCCCTTCAAGCCAATTTTGTATCCAAATGGCTAGCTCTTCCTGGATTCCATGTGATCTACCTTGCTAATCAGTGTGCCATGTGGAACCTTATCAAGCACTTTGCTGAAGTCCACATAGTCAACGTCCATCATTTTGCCTTCATCAGCCGTCTTTGTCGCTTCTTCAGAAATCTCAGTCAAACTAGTGAGACATGATTTCCCACACACAAAGCCATGTTGACTATCCCTAATCAGTCCTTGCTTCTCCAAATACATGTAAATCCTGCCCCTCAGAATCCCTTGCAACAACATATCCACCACTGATGTCAGGCTCACCAGTCTATAGTTCCCTGGCTTTTGCTTACAACCTTCCTTAAATAATGGCACTATATTAACCACTCTCTGGTTTTCTGGTACCTTACCCATGGTTATCAATGATACAAATATCTCAGCAAGGGGGCCCAGCAATCACTGCCCTAGCTTCCCACAAAGTTTTGGGGTACACCTGATCAGATCCTTAAAGCTCTGGAGAATCAAACTGATTATTTGAAGCTTTGCATGTTGCTAACATTATAGGTTTTGACGTTAAATTACGGATATAATCCTGAAATGGAACATCTGCATTCTACATATGTACACACAAATGTTAAATATATCGTATCTATAACATATACACAATACTCTCAGTTTCTGATGGAATGGGTAGTCCTGTTAGTATGTTTCAAATGATCTTAATTTTTGCTGTTCATTGATCATTGATCATTTGATCATTGATCTTTCTGAAAATTGTTTTAAAAATATTTTGCAGGATTGTAAGAAAATAAATGGATAAGTTTCAGCAATGAAGAGAGACTAGATTGACTGAGGCTGTTCTTGGAGCAGAGAAGGCTGAGGGGATTATAAAGGGCATAGATAGGAATGAATTTTTCCCCTTTTAATGGAGGGACCAATAATCAGGGGACATAGATTTAAGGTAAGGGGCAGGAGGCTTACAGGGGAATTTAAGGAAAACATTTTTCACCCAGGGGCGAGGGTATCTGGAAAACACTGTCTGAAATGGCGGGAATGTTGATGATTTTGTCAGGTATGGATTTCCATTCACCCTCAAACTGTTTTCTTTCGTTCCCCTGTAGGTACTATGGAGTGGGTCAGTGCTGAATCCAAGAAATGACGCTGACACACTGAGCATTGTCAAACTCAATGAGAAGATTTACAGAGACAGCAGAGTCAATATGAGCATGCTCACCATTGGCGATGGAGTCACCTTAGTCTTCAAGTTGTAGGAAGGCCAACTCCAGTAACAGCACATTGCAACTGTTCTTTCAGCCCTTCTTCAGCAAGTGCAACATAAAATAATGGATCGTCTTCTCGTCCTTCATGGCATTTATATTCTTTCTTCCCCTCTTAACGTTTCTCCCCTCCCATTTTAAATTCTGCAGCCTTCCAAAATGATTTACCAGTCGTGTGCTTATTCCCCAACCTTTTTAAGCATCCAAATCATGTCTTCAGCGTCGCCTTTACCTTTTTATTGAAAGGATCAGTTCCCATTTGGCCCGGGTAATATCCTCCCAGCATTCAGCCTGTTAAACTCATTAAGAATTTTCTATGTTGCAATTAGATCACCTCTTTTTGAAAATCTAGGGAATATAGGGTCTAATCTACTTAATCTTTCCTCATCTTTCCTTAATCTACTTAATCTTTCCTCAAAGGACAAGCTTGTTACAACATTCCAATCTGAATTCTATGGTCACTAATTGTGTAAGGATGTCTTGTATGTCCCTTTATTGTATCCTTTTTAAAAAAAAAAGTCAAAATGCACTACATCCAATGGTTGCCCCTTAACAACCCTGTGAGTACACTCACTCAGCCTTATTTGCACGTTCCCGATCTTTTGCAAATGCCTTACTGCTACTGTCTAACACTTAATTGCAATTCAATGGGGAAATAATTCGCTAGCTTCTATAAATGCACTCTTGTAACGAATTTGATCGGTTTGCTAATTCTTCTTAAAGGAATCTGAGCTCTGATTTACTAATGGACGAAATGAGCTCAGAAAATAGCAGCTTCGGAGATCATTGTAAAGATTAAGGAGATGTAGGAAGTGAGTGAAGGTGCTAGCATGTCACTTTGACCCTTCAGTTCAGGAACTGGCTTCCAATCCAACCAGGGATTTCCTTACAGGCACTGCTTTGGATCAAAGGCACCTGTCAGATTTGTTTAAATTAAGACATACATGAAATTTGAAGAGAGAACTATTAAAGTCCTCTGTAATGAATATCTAATTTGTTGCTGCAGCCATCATTGAAATCACTCCAGCAGGTAGTGAGAAGTCGAAATAAATTTATTAGCATCTCATTAAATTAATCTACTTGCTAGAATCAACTTCCCCTTTGCAATTAACTTTTGTCCTATTGAGATAATTGAGAAACGCAAGTGCATAAATAAACCTGGAGAGTTTGCTATTCAGCATCCAATCCAGGAGGGTATGTAGATTTGGCTGCCTTTATCTGCACTTCATGGGACTTGTCTTTATGTTCACTGTAACCTCTACCAGAGCAGTATGGAGACTAAGGCAGGATGGAACCCTGAACCATTGCTTGAACCAACCAGAGAATGGCAAGGCACCTGCTTTGGTTTCACGGGTGGCATTTCAGCCAACAGGCTCAGGCAGCAGTCTGTGTATCAGAATTCCACCTTTGTGCAGAGGGCAAGGCAGGTGGCTTTGTGGCTGAGAGGGACACTTTGGCCAATCTGTCTCACAGTGAGAAAGAGAAGGATTGGGTGTGGTGGGCATGGAGGCAGGAGCAGTTTGTAAGCATATGTAGCCAGACAAGATGGAGAGGGGTCATTGTGTTGAAAAGGCCCTTCAGTGCACTGAGTCTGCACCGACGTGGGAGGAAACACCTGACCTTCATCCTCCTCCCCAGAAAGTGGGCAGGAAGGATTGGTAGTTTGAAAGGATGAGAACGGTGTGAGTCCTCGAGTGCGCATCATGCGTGTGAAGCTCAGGCTGCAGGTTATGAGCCTTAATGAGGAGCCTGTGTGGTGGCAGCGTGGGGTGGTACCAAAAAGATGGTGCCACCTGCCCTTGCAGAGCACCAGGCATGGTTCAGTTTCTTCTGGCACTGCTTGACATCCTTTTTGTACTGCTCAGTGGCGCTCCCAGGCTGGACAGCTCTGATGGGATGGCCTTCTGGCTCATTCTGCAGGGACAGGATGGACGTTCCCTCAGTGACTGTGTTCGGCAGCATCTGCAAGGCAGCACCAGTAAACCTGGGAGCCATCTTGGTCTCCTGGACAGACATTTCTGGGCTTCTAAGGGCAACTATGATAGACTAAGAAGAGAGCCTTTGCTTGCAGCGAGTGAAGTGCTACCCAGTTGCCCAGTAAAGATGACGCTAGAGCTTGGAAGGTCCCACCAGGGCTTTTAAAAACAAAAAAAGAGTCTGGCTGACTCACCACATGCATATCAGCCTTGCATAGATAACAAGCTGAGGAGCACATAATCATGTGTCATAACTGGCCCTTGGACATTAGTGGGCACAGTGCCATGGAATACACGCATAACCACACTTTAACTTTGAAATGGAAAATCCTGACCTTAGTTACTTTGAAACGGCTAAATTTAAAATCCTATGAACGTCACAATTAATGGAAATCCAACTCTGATTCAAACGTCATAGGTAGACAACCGTGAACGGCTGTAGGAAGGAAAAGTTAAGCCCGATAATTATAATTGTGCTCACTTTCTCCAAGTAAATATCGCAGATGTATCCCCTAGGAAACAACAGAGAATAAAGTAACCATCACCTCCACTACCGATGTGCTTAAAAATACTAACTTGGTCTCATAAATAATTCCGCTAAAACACCACAGCCCTGGCCATCAGCTCAGGAAACCACTTGCCTTATTGTGTGTGCTTTATTTCTTATTGTGCATGTGTTTTGCCAAATACAGCAAGATATACACTGAATGAAAAGTCCACCAAGGCAGAATTCCTGCTTTAATCTCTTGAAGCAGATGACTTCCACATCCCTTTTCCAGAGATGTTCAACTACAATAACTTAGCAATGAATCTGAATTGATATGGATGTTTTAATACACTTGGTTCAAGATATTCGTATAAATTATATGTTTATTTCTCTGTTTAAAGTCTCTGGATTAATACTTTGCTAGAGGACACTTTAGGATTAATTTTTAACTTAACATTGCAAGTACAAAGCCCATGGGATCAGTGGAAGTCTGGTTTAAATTCCATCCAAAATTCAGAGATTAAAATTGGGCTGGATGTAAAACAACTATTGCACCCAAAAACAATAAACTTTCCACCCAACCAGTTAAAATTATCCAAATATTATGCTGTTGGGTCATTTTAGCTTCGTGTTGCTATATCGCAAATTTATTTGGTGAAAATACTGTGATTATTTGCTTCTGATTGTTAATCAATAATGATTTGTTCCGCATGATGTAAAGTATAAATATCCTTTCCACATAATGCTGGAGTTCAGCTAAAGGTGATGTACTCTTCTGTGAAAATGGTTAAAAAGAAAATCAAATTAAAAAAGTTTGTATTTTCTGTGGGGAAATAGGAAGTTGAAAATATTTTCAAAAGATTTTGCCTGGTTTATGTTGGGATAAATCATTGAGATGTTTAATGTACAAATATTAAATCAGCTCTGTGGACATTGAAGGTATGTTAGGATGTGCTTATTAGGTGGCAACAAACTCATTAACTTGCTTGGGAATTCAGTTTGAAGTTTATTTAGGTTATTTATTGTGTTCATTGTGGATATACAGTAACCTACGTTGTCATCAGAGGGATTTTGGTGGAAGGATATTTAAGGGTCATTTGGGGACATCATGTATTTTCCGTGACTGAAGTAATTATGTAGCTAAAGGGTACTCCAGGGAAGGTTGTTCATTTTGCATTTTGATGGATTCCTTTTCAGTGAAATCACACCATGACCTGCTGCAAAAAATGATCTTTTCTTGTGCGAGGGGAGACATTCTCTTTCTACATGATGTGATGGCGGAGTGTGTTTGAGAGGCAGATTTTATGAGGCCTGTCATAGACACAGCGATGGGTGGTTGTGGATTTTTGAGAGTGGGCTTAACTGTCTACAGGCATGATTTATTCTGATTTAGTCTCTTATAATCCAACTGGATGCAGCAGAGTGACACAGCAGGAGCATGCTGGGCCCATAACCCAGAGGTTGATGGATCAAAATCAGGCCCAGCCATTGACATATTCTCATTATCGCTGAAAGGATGCATTTGCTGCTACTGAGAATCTTTATTGAGGGCTCTTGTGGTGCAATGATAGTGCCCCTACCTCTGAGCTAGGAGGCCCGGGTTCAAATCCCACCTGCTTCAGAAGTGTGCAATAACATTTCTGAACAGTTTGGGATTGTAGGTAGTTTCTAATCAATCAACCATATCTCTCAAACCCCTCCTTCCGTTCTCCCCACCATTTATCAGCTTGGCTCAGTAACAGCATTATTGTCCATATGTTAGAGAGTTGTGCATTCAAATGCCATTTCAGAAATTTAATATAAGATTTAGACTGAGTGAAGAAGTGCTACACTCCCTGAGGTGCTGTCATTTTGACAAGGGACATGAGTTAAAGACAGTGGTATAACCAGTTCCAAGACATTATCTGAAGAATAGCTGAGGGTTTCATGGCTAACATTTACATTTCAACTAACAGTAACAAAAGCAGATTGACATGTCATTTATTGCATTGTTATCATTGCGATCTAATAGCACACACACTGGGCTGTAGCATTTTCTGGATATGGTAGGGATTGTGAAGTGTATTATAATGTCTACTTCAGTACTTCTGGCTGAAGATGGTCACAAACACATAACTGCGTTTTTATAACTACTAATCAACCTGTTCGGAGATGTTCTTCCACACCTCTGGAGCATGTGGGATTGAACCTGGGCCTCCTGCCTCCGAGATAGGGACACTACAGTGGACCACAAAACCCTCACTGTGTCTTTTACACTCATTTATGTGCTGGGCACTGCCATTTTTGAGGAGAGGTAAGTCCATTGACCAATCACAGCTGGAAGTAGCTGGATTTTGGTCTAATCTGTTGGTTGTCAGAACACTCAGCTCGGTCCACGGCATGTCCTTTCCATGGGCTAGTGGAACCTAGTCCTGTGTCGTAGATTCTCCAGGTTGATATCCTTTTTTTTGAGTATGCCTATTGGTGTGTTTGGCATATTCTTTCTTCCTCACATCCTCCCACAATTCTTGCCCAAAACCTTTAGTCCCCTAGTCCCTGTACCATGAGTATCAAAGTTTGCATTTCTGTTGTCAGATTTAATAAATTCACATGTTATGATGGGATTTGAAGGCATGACTCTTGTTAGCAGAGCAGAGAAAGATGCAATTATAATCATTAGACATAGTTTTTTGTAAGGAATGAACTGCCCTTTTGGCCTCCATTTGATGGTCAGTTGTACTCGTGTCTGGTACACCTTCTCTCATTCCAAACCCTAGCAGTTTTTACACTAAGTGAATACAAATGTCTTTGAATGTGGCTCAAGGTTAAATTCTGAATTTGCAACCTTCTGGTGGGGATTCAGTATTCAACACTAGGGTTTGAAATGTGCTGGCAGTGACCCATCTCTGTGGTGCATGCTGTTTATTTTACCACAAGATCCATAAACCTCTTATTCTGCTGGGGAATGGAGAGTTTTGCTGGTGACAAGGTCATTTACTCACCCTGAGGGCAGATCTAAAAAACTGCCTAATTGGTTCCCAGCTTGCTTAAAAGCAAAGAGGAAAATATCTCATTGGTGAACAGTCGCACTGCAGTTCCCAGGGCACTTGTACTTTGTACTGAAATATTAATCACTGCAGTGTTTCAATGCGAGTTACTGAGATTGGTCATTTGTTGTAGGTTAACCAGAGCTCTGAGAATAAAAAGTAAGCTGATCCATTATTGTCATATAGTCACAGATTTAACTTACAAGGCAATTGTCCAGCTATGTGGAGGTGTACATATTTTAGGAGAAAGGGAGACACACTCGTCATTTTATTTGACTAGCAATGCAGAGGTTTGGACAAATTGTCCTGCTACAAGTTCAAATCCAGCACAGCAGCTGAGGAAATTTCAATCAATAAATTAATAGGTTAGAATAAAATGTCAGTCTCATTAATAAAGAACACAAAACCCCTTGTTGTAAAAACCGAAAGAACTGCGGATGCCGTAAATCAGGAACAAAAACAAAGTTGCTGAAAAAGCTGAGCAGGTCTGGCAGCATCTGTGAAGGAGAAAACAGAGTTAACGTTTCGGGTCCGGTGACCCTTCCTCAGAACTGATGGTGGCTGGGAAAACATCAGTTTATATGCAGAAAATAGGGCGTAAACGATAGGATAGAGCCCAAAGAGAGAGAAAGACAGTTGGACACGATGGTTAGCAACTCCTTTGTCTGTCCAACTGTCTTTCTATCTCTTTGGGCTTTATCCTATCGTTTACTCCCTACCCCCCCCACCTCCCTATTTTCTGCATATAAACTGATGTTTTCCCAGCCACCATCAGTTCTGAGGAAGGGTCGCCGGACCTGAAACGTTAACTCTGTTTTCTCCTTCACAGATGCTGCCAGACCTGCTGAGCTTTTTCAGCAACTTTGTTTTTGTTCCATTGTTGTAAAAACCTGGCTAGTTCACTTACTGTCCTTCAGGAGAGGAAATCTCCCGTCCTTATCTGGCCTGGCCTATTTGTGCTTCCAGCAATATGGTTTTACAAGCTGCTCCAGTTGTATCAAACCACTGCAGAGCACAATACTGTGGGTGAGCCTATTGCAAGGGTTCATGAAGATGGTTCATCAACCCTTCTCAAGGGCAATTAGTGAGAAAGTAAACACTGGCTTTGGCTTTGTCAACATTTCACATCTCACAAGAACCAGTTTTTTCAAAAAATTTGAAGTCCGGTTAATTTCATTCGTAACTTTTTAAACATTAGCCTCATTCTGATAAACACTGAAAGAACTGCAGATGTTGTAAATCCAAA